CCCCCTCAGGTTATGGCTGCAGTTTTCCCCTGTACCTTTTATTTTATGCACTGCCCTCCTGGGACCTATTGGTGAACCTTTTTCTGACTTTAGCCAAATTCGCCATCTATCAGACCAAGAATGAGGCTTCACCTGGGTGACTGTGGGGCCATATTCCTGTTACTCCATGCATGTCTATGGGCAGATTTTTACTATGAAGCATTCACAGATTCATTGGACTTGTGTGAAGGGCAGTGGCTTTGCTCTGCTTGGTCCCTCTACTGAGAACACGTTATTACCCAATGACTGTCATTCCCATTCCTGTTTTGATGTGCCAAGAAATCTGCTATTATGTATGTAGTGGTCTCCTTAACCGGGGAACGTATTCTTGGTGGACCTAGGCTCACTGTTTCCTACATAACAAATAGGCCTGTTTCATAGGGCTGTGCAAGGCTTTGGACCATGCTTCAGATCCAGAGAAGATTTGGAGGCTTCAGACGCTGAAGCAGCATGTCCAGATCGAAGCACTGGCTTCCTGAAGCTTTCTGAATCAGTTCGGAGCTTCCAAACTGCTTTGGAAAAGCTTTGGAGCTGCTTCAGAGATCCGGCTATAGGGTATAATGGGAATCAATGGAATATCTATAACTTTGTTGTTTTTTGTCTGATTTGTATTAAACGTGCAAAGATGGTAGCCTCTGCTGAGAGCATGAAGTTTATCAAGTTTCACGAAGATCGGTGCAGGGGTTTGGGGAGAACTGCACCCCAAATTCTTGAAAGCAAAACTCACATCACGTGTGCGTGTTACACCACAGGGGGGTGCAGGGATGGTAGCCGCTGGTGAGGCCACAAAGCCTGCCAAGTTTCAAGATAGGTATAGGGGTTTGGGGGGAACTGCACCCCAAATTCTTGAAAGCAAAACTCATGTCATGTGTATGTGTTAAGCCACAGTGGGGTCAAAACTGCAGGGGTGATAACCCCTGCTGAGGCCACAAAGCCTGCCAAGTTTCAAGATAGGTATAGGGGTTTGGGGGGAACTGCACCTCAAGCTGCTGACAGGCAAAACTTGTGACATAGATGACCCTATGTGTGTTAAGGCACAGTGGGCCAAAAACTGCAGTGGTGGTGGCCCCTGATGAGGACACAAACCTGCCAGGTTTCAAGGAGGTAAGTGCAGGGGTTTGTGGGAAACTGCACCTCAAGCTGCGGACAAGCAAAACTCGTGACATGGGTGACACTGTGTGTTAAGGCGCAGCAGGGTGATAGGTGCAGGACTGCTAGCTCCTGCTCCGGCCACGAAGCTTGCTAGCTGCCAAGGAGATAGGTGCAGGGGTTCTGGATTCTGGGGCCCTGCAGCTCTAGCTGCTGACAGACCAAACTCATATCATGGTGCTTTGAAACTCCTGCAAGTTTCATCGAAATCAGACAAAAAACAACAAAGTTATAGATGTTTCATTGATTCCCCATTATACCCTATGGCCGAATCCCTGGCATCCAAAGCAGCCAGATTGAAGAGCTGCCTATTCTCACAGGCCTACTGTCTTGCATAGTGGCAGCAAATGTATGTTGTGGGGGAGGATAAAGAGAGCATGCTGTGAATTTTTTTACCCTTCTACTGTAGTTTCCAGCATTCAACATTTCAGCTTCCAACATTTATATACCTGAGTAATTTTAGGTAGTTAAGTGCTATGGTTCTGCTCATGTGACTAAATGTTCTCAGGTGCAGAAGAGTTTGCAGGTTTATCCCCTTGGCATGATTTCTAAATCTGTCCAGGATTTGGTGGAGCTAAGGAATATAGTTCTTATTATAGATTCTTAGCTCTGTAATTTACTCTCAGTAGAAATCTTGTTGCAACCCAAGATATGTCTTGTTTAGAGCACGATGAATTTTGAAATACCCAAATAGAATTAAACAGCAGCAAAAACCCCTCTAAGATATCCCTTCCTCTGGTTTTCCCAGTGTATCTTGTCTTTTCGTTGTTTCCATGAATTGGATTAAAACTTTTCCAGCCAGGGTCTGCATCAGTTCTGTCCCTTGCTATCACTTTATAACTGAGGCCATTGTTGGTACTTAATGCCTCCCTGCCACTGCAAATACTATTTTGTGTTTTCTTCATACTACTTGCCAGCCTGTTTCCCCTGTAGTCAAATAGGGGTTTTGCCATTGACTTTGGTAAGACCAGGTGCTACTTCTGTCATTGATGAAGTTTCCAAACCTTTTTCTAAAGGTCAGCAAATACAACTTAGCTGCCTGACATTGTTCCAGGGGGCTCTTACCTAATTGTGCCTGAATTAGGTAACAGCACATGAAACCTTACGTATTTTTGTCACCGTGCTTATAATAGCATAAAACTGTGTGTGAGGATCAGGTACTCTGATAGAAACACTCCTGAAACTTGAGTTAGCGGTTTCAAAATCTAGATGTAAACTGGGATCTAGGTGGACTTGAAGCCCATTTCTCATGTTATGAGGTATGTTATCAATCCCCTGATGTTGCTAGTGTCTTTTAAGCCTGCATCATAGCTCTAAATTCAAGCAGGCAGGAAGGCTGGTTTAGTTGTTAGAGCTCTGGTTTAGGACACATGAAACCCTGGTTCATTTTGTGCTCTGCCAGAGACTTCCGGTGTGAATTTGGACAAATGCTTGTAGCCCAGGTGTACATGGGTTTGTACTTCCCTCTCCGACTGAGGGAATTATTGGCAAGGCAGTGTGCTGTGGAGGGACACAAGAGCCCAGTGGCCACCTCCGTGCCCAATAGAGTCAGATCTAGTCAATCAATTAATTAAATACAGATTTATCATCACAACAAAACCATTAAAGGGTAAGGACATATATAATCTATGTACAAGTTTACAGAACAATAAACCCTATAATACACACACATATATATATATACCAATATACCAGACCCAGTTGTGAAGGGGAGGCAGGGTTCCCCTGTGGGGACCTTCTTTCCAGGGTAACTTACTACTACTCCGCAGTCCTGGAGAGTTGCCTCTTGTTCTCCAGGTCAAGCTCTGTCCCTGCCGGGTTTTCCTGCCGCCTGACTCTGCTGCCACCATCCTGGCTTAGGGCCACAGGCACTGCTGTATGTAGTGGACATTTCACCTTATGCTAGGGGTTGGAGGCCTGGACAGCCTTGTGCAACACCGGGGCATAGTCTGTTCCCAGACCCTCTGGGCTGCATCATCTGCACTGAGCTGCTGCCCTGTGTCAGCAGCTGTAGACCCGAGCCACCTCGGGCGGCTCCCAGGGTCTCTCACCCTCCGCGCAGCGCCTCCTGCACTGAGCTTCCAGCCTTGTTCTGGGGGTCGAGGACCTGAGCTGCCCTAGGGGCTCCAAAGCTCCTGCTCCATGCACCGGCCTGTGCACCGTGTCTCTGGCTGCACGCCAGAGGTTGCAGACCCAAGCCGCCCCATGCAGCTCCCAGGGTCTGGATGCCATGCGCCATGCACCAAGGACCAAACCACTGGAGCTGTCCCCGGCTCCCTGCTGATTAGAAGTCTTCAGGGGCTCTTCCTGGGCTACTGCTTCACCTTGCTGAGCAGCTCTCCTCAGCTCTTCTAAGCCCCACTCTTCTCTCTTCTCAGTCCCTAACGCATCTGCCCTTGTGCTGGGCACATAGCTCCTTTTATGTGCTTCAGGGCTCTGCCCCTGAAGTCTTCTGGACCTGACAGTTTGCAGTCTTCAATCGGGTCTGGGAGAGCTCTTCTGCCCCTCCCCTCAGAAAAGGGGTGTGATGTTATTTCTCTTGCTGCCTCCTGATTGGTGGATGAGCTCCACCAATCAAAACAGCAGGATCTCAAGCCTAGGATTCAACCCAAGCTCTGAAAGGCAAGCCTGCTACATGCTTAAGCTGAGGTTTACAAAGTACTTGGGTCTTTACATGAGGCTGAGGTTTACAAGGTACTTGGGTCTTTACATGAGGCTGAGGTAGAATTTAGAGAGAGCGATTCACAGAAATTTTACCAGCCTCCCTTAGGCACCTAAATGGTCTGGTAAAAATGGATGTAGACATCTATAATTGAGCAGGCATACACACTGAAAGACACCACTTCATGCTATATAGGCATCTTTGTCTCACTTTAGGCTGTTAAGGATTGAGATACTACATGGCCGTGCCCCTGAGCCCAACCTGGTAGATATGCTCTGAGCATACCTAATGGTATAGAGTTTGGTATTTGCCCTTCATCTCCATGTGCCTACATGCCTGACGATGAGTTTTGAGAACAGAACTTCCCTCCCTGGAAGGGGCACTGAGAAGATAAACAGGTGAGACTGTGATGGGTTCAGCTGTCCTGGTGTAGAGGTAAAGGGGCCAACCAAAACACTTAGATGATATTTTTTTCCTGTCAATAATATAGTAGAATCCTGGAGTCTTATCTTCTAAAGCAAGGCCTTAAGGCAGGATTTTGCTGCAGTACTGACAGCTGGAAAGGTAATGCCCTTAGTTTTTCTTTGTTCAAAATTCTGCACAGTTCGGCGCCTAGAGAGGTGGCCCCTTGTTTCAAATTTGCTCTGTTCGTGCTTAGTCATTACTTCTACAAGGCTCAGCAGTGTGGCCTCCCAGGCCTTTGTAACAGATGCCATTGTACAAAGTGTGTGTGACTGCAATCTCCAGGATAGGCTCTAATTAGAAACAGAATGTTATACAGTAGCTTGGAAAGGGAACGGGAGAAATCAAAACAAGAGACCAGAAAGAAAATGCCAAAAAGAGAGAAAAATAAAAGGCTATTCTGCTGGCATTTCGTGCTGACGAGCACTTGACAGGAAATACTGTGCATATCTGTGGAAAAAGAAAGGGTATGGCAAAGAGGAACAAAAGCTATTAAGGAAGACTTAAAGGGCCAGATCCCAACTGGAATAAATCAGCATTTCTCCGGAATTGACGCCATCTCATTGACTGCTCCGCTGCTCATTCACACCAGCCAAAGATCTGGCCTGCTTGACACAAGTGTACAAACAAACTTGAATTTCTGTTTATTTATATTATCCCTCATTTTAATTATAATTTTGTTTTCCAGGCTGTCCTCCTCTTGGTCTGGAGACATTAAAAATTACTGACTTCCAGCTCCACGCTTCTACAGTAAAGCGATATGGCCTTGGGGCCCACAGAGGAAGGCTTAATATTCAGGTAACACCAATTTTCTTTCTAAGTGGTAGAATGGCTCACGGTTGCATTGTTGTACACACAGTGCCAGTGGATGGTTATAGGTTTTGATTACTTTGTCAGCTTACATTATTCAAATGAAAAGGAAATATTGAAATTATGGCAATGGGTAGATTTGACGGATAGATCTGAAATTGTAGGGTTTTTTCCCTGGTTTATAAAAGCTCCAAAAGTGATGTGCTTAGAATTCAAATGCTAATGGCATTCTGTAAAGAAAGAAGGTGAGTGGAGTAGAAAGAGGAAGCTCTTCCCTATGCGCTATCAGCGCACAAAGGAGAGGCAGTAGGAGGGTGTTTGAGACGCAGGATTATTTATTTATTTTTTTTATGCTTTGCCTACAGTGAAAGGGATCTGTAAATTAAGAACACATTTTTAAGTGGAGCTGCTTACTACCCATTTTCTCTTCTCAGGCAATGAGAATTTTGCCAAGAAATAGAGCAGTTCTGAGGCAACTTGTACACATTCTTGGTTTTCCTTAGTTTTGTTACTTTTACTTTCTAGAGGGTCATCCCTTTTATTCCAGACTTAGATAAGCATAACTGAGCTTATTGACTCCTGGTGGGGGGGTGCTGCCTGGACCCCTGCTTCTGTATGCCTGGAGGCTCCTGTGGGCAACCCTCTCCTCTGTTTTGAATGAGTTAGCTTTCTTCCATTAGTGTCAGTGAAGGCCTTGGGCAGCCCTCCAGAGCTCATACCCCCATGGGCACGCAGAGGGTCACCTGGCCACCTCCTGCACCAAATAAGCCTGGGATACACAGAACCCTGGTCAATTGGCATCAAAAGAAGGCAACTGTCTGGTTCTTTAAAGCCGGGGAGAGCTGCTTCCAGATCCCCCAGCCAGAAACACTGCAGCGAAGTGCAGGCTATAGAGGTGGTAGCAGTAGTAGTTGTGGCTGTGTACTAGAGCAGCCAGTTGTAATGTGGTGGTTGGTGGGGTGAGAAGCAGTGCGGCGTGGGATGCCTAGAGGACCAACCTGACACTAGACCTTATATAACACTGAACTGGTTCACAGAGAACCAGTCAAAATAATTGATTATCCAGGTATACTCTTGACGCAGCTTGGGCTGTGTAAACCATTCTAGACTGGCTTGTACATCTGGATGCTTGAGGTTTAAACAGAACTTGAGGTTTAAACAGGTTTAAACAGAACTTGAGGTTTAAGTGTTATGTTTGTTGAAACTGAGACCAAAGGTAAGTATTATATCATGAGCCTGATTGCCCACTGAGTTAATTTAGTTCTATGTTCATGTAAGACCACCAAAGTCGATGGAAATATTGGAATAAACCTGCAGTGGTGAGCCAGGTATATATTTAGTAACCAATGAAGCAAAACACACAAATATTTCAAACAGGCGAAATAGACTTACCTTAGCTCGGGAATTAGTGATGGGGCAGAGCCAGGAATCAGATAGCTTTGAGGGGAGATGAATGTTCTTTGGTTAGCACTTGTAAATATTTCACTGGCCTCGGATATAGCCTTTTCCTGTTGTAGAATTCTTTCCAAACTCAAGTTCCCCAGGACACTTTCCTTCAGCCCATGAAGTGAAATAAAAGGCAATTTTACCAAAAGTAGTTTCAGTACACCGTGCAAAGAGGCAACCAGCATTTAAAGTCTGAAATTATCTTTAAGCGTGAACATATTTGAAGGGGTAATGTCCCTTACACAGAGGCCAAAAGGACTCAGGTAAAATTGAATCTCCATAATTTGTACTAGATTGATTGTTTGGATTTCTAATCTCCAATACTCTGGATTTGAGGGTGCTTCTGGCCCTAAAGTAAATTTTACCATAGTATTCTTTTCTTTCTTTCATCTTAGTCTTGTAACCAATGCCCAAAGTTTGCTTCCAGCAAGTGACCTGCCACCATCTCAGCTACTATTTCCTAGCAGTTCTCCAGGTACTCTTGGCTACAAAAATAATATTCATGCCAGTTCTTGAACAATGGCCCCATTTTCCTTCAATGTAAACCTTATTTTTTTCATCTTGGCAGAATCACAGACTTTAGATTGTCTCCTGAGGGTCACAGTGATCTCCCCAGTCACTTAACCCCAAAGACGAGTCATTTTTTATTTCAGTAATAATTTCAGTTGTGTTCTTCATTCTTCACTTCAGATTTTAGTTTAGAAAAGAAATTGATTTTTTACTATTATAATACTGATAGAAACTAAGTTTTATTCCATGTATCTGTTGCCATTTCCTTATCCCATCTTAATTAATTCTGACTAACACATTCTCTTTATTTTTTGAACTTTAAGCTTATGTTTTCATTTTTTTTCATATAAATACTTTTATGATCTCATTATTCTGGGAAGCTTGTATATAAATGACATTGCAGTACCTAATCGGTAACAGTCTTTAATCATGGTACTTTATCTTTCTGTCCTGTTCAAATGCAGCCTATTTCTTTGCTGAAATGTTATCTCTAATAGACAGTACTAGTAATCCTTAAATCGAACACCTTCCTCATTATAACTTCCAGATAACCACGTAATAATCCCATATACTGGCTCAACCACTTGGAGTGCTGACAGTGATTGACAGTGTGTTAAAAAGTGCAGTTTAGCATTTCTTTTTCTTTTTCTTCCCCTCATTTTGGGACTGCCCTAAAATTAATAAGGTATTCAAGTCAGTTTATATTGCTCTTTCCAGAGCACTTTTTTCACTTTGTTTTGAATGTTCAAATTTAGTTTTATACATTTAGTAAGTATAATTAAGACCTTTGAATTGTATTAGAATATACGTATATTCCAATGCAATTCAAAGTTCTTAATTATACTTACTAAATGTGTGTGTGTGTGTGTGTATTAGGGGTGTGCAAATCAGGCCCAATTCGATTCGGATTCGGCTACAATCAGGGACAGTGATTCGATTCTTTGATTTCAGTCACTGTCCCTGATTTAATTCAGCCAAATCTGAATCTGAAGATTTGATGCTGATTTGGAGAATCAGTGATTCGGACATAGACACAGTTTTAAAGCTTTGTTCTACATACCTTGAGGTAGCAGGCACAGCTCGTGATAACTGTGATGCTGGGGCGCATGGAGTATCCCACAGGAGTGTGGGGGGCCCCTCCACGTGCTTGACTGTGAACACGGGAGCATGCTGAGATGGTTTTGTTGGAATTTAGGTGGTGCACAGAAGTTTTGCTGGCTTTCGGTCTGAGGTGAACTTTACATAGTAGAGCCCACTCTCTTTTTAGTGTTAGAAAATGTGTTCATCCTTGTTTCCCAATGTGGTGTTGTTAGACTACAGAGCCAATTATGAAATCCACAGTAATTTTTGATCAGTGTTGTCACAGGCCAGCTGAGCACTGTGAGTATATCAATTTAGCCACTAGGCTCTTTGGTTCGGGATTGAGGAGGCAGAGGTGGGAGTAAAGCAATGGCAAGTTTATTATAATACACACACACAACAGTTAACAGAAGGATAAATGCAATAAGCAGATAATGCAGTATTAAAGAGCTAATAGTAAATAATAACAACAGGTAAATCAATCTGTCACAGGCCAGCTGAGCACTGCTAGGGTATCAGCCCCTGGCTGTTGAAAACAACAAATAGACAGACATAAGTTGGCAACTTATCAGCAGTCCCTTAATGCCAGGTGCATGCCAAGTGATTCCAGCAAAGTCAGGCATTCCCGACTGACGTTGTCTGAGGGATTACTGGGGAAGGTCCCTTGATCAGGATCCAATCCTCACTCACACTGGGAGTCCGGAGCCCGGGCTTGGAACAGCAATTACCATCCTGTTCCCTCCTTCCCACTGGTCACCTGATACACACGCTTTTTCTACCTAGGCTTATGCTAATCTGTTGGCTTTAGAGCCATTCACAATCTTGTTCTATAGCTGTTACCCTATGGAATTAAAAGGTGTTAAAAATTATTATAAAAGGTTACTACCCAGACGTGGGTTTATCTAATAAGCAAATTGTAATGCAGCATCTTCGGGTTTGAAATGAACATGACTCTGCCTAAATCTAACCCCTTTAGAACTCTCTGACTATGCTTTTTTGAGATGTGCTTTCCTGGAATGTGCTGGGTAGGCCAGGCGGTTGAATCCAGTTTTTATCATCATCCAGGCTAAATTCTAAGCAAAAAAGAACCATTAGGTCAGCTAATTTCACAGCTATAGTGTTGTCTTTGAGGCCTATTCAGTTCCACAAACAGTTACAAGTTATATTTGTGGGTTACAAAAATACATGCTTTATATTAGACAAAAATTCCAAATGCCTCTAAGAAGCACACATTTATTACTTATTAATTTCTTTGGTTCTGGCTGTCACACAGTGTACAAATACTTATGTTACGTCATACTATAGAAAGGCTAATGGTACTTCAGAGTTATATTTAAGCAAATGTTAGTTATTGTTTTGAAGCTGTTCAGTAGTGTACACAATGGATGAAATTCAATCCTAGGTAAAGGAACCATGTGAGGTCCCACTTAAGTTCTGTTTTCAGTGCACTATTTTGAGCATTTAATGGTCTCTGTAGTTTTCCTTTGCAAAGGGGTGACTATCTTCTTATTACCCCTAAAGTCTTGTATTTATCTTCCCATAAGATCAAACAAATTCATTTTATGTTCAAATATATAAAGTTACACGATGTAATGTTGCTAACATTAAACAGGTTCAGAAGTATAGACACATCCCATGTAACTGGAGCCACCTCAACTCAAAAGTATTGTGGGGTCCAAACACCCTTCGTCAGACAATTCAAAGATTGTAAATGTTCTCCCAGGTAGAAAAGAATCTTCATCTTGCATGGGGGGTGTAAAGGATGGTGGAGTTCCCCTGGGTTTCAAAGTTCATTTGTGAAAAAGTTACTCTATGAATATGCAGATTGGGCGAAGACAAAGCTCCAGCAGGTTTGGGTGTTTGGACCCAAAAGCTTGCAAACAAAGACATTTTTTGCTACTATTTAGTTGGGCTAATAAAAGATATCGCCTCTAGCTTAAGAGTTTTGTCTG